GGAGGACATTTTAAGAATTACAGGTGGTTGAGAGTGCTCATGCTAGAGCCACGTAGGAAGATAAGAATTTGGAAAAAAGGTTATTCTTAACAATCAAATTCTGTGAGAGAGGAGTTTCATTAGGGGAAGAGCAGAAAGCTCTGTAAGGACTAAAGACAAAGTGGCAGTGCGAAAGTAAAAGCTGTAAATATGGACTCAAGTCAAGGATTTAGGCAGTTAAAAGATAGTCTAGTCTATGGAGGAAGAAAAGTAGGTAATTCTGGATGGGAGAGAAGAGGGAAAAAAAGAGGTAATAATACATAGGAATGTTTAAAACAGAAGAACAACAAAGGTGGAGAATTTACACAATCCAATTTCAAGACTTATTTTTAAATTACAATGGGCACCTGTTGGGATGAGCACTGGGTGTTGTATGGAAACAAATTTGACAAGAAATTTCATATAATAAAAAAATAATAATTTACAATAATGTGTGTTATTGACATAAAAATAGACTTGCATATCAAGGGACAGAATAGAAAGCCTAGAAACAAATTCATACATATTTAGCCAACAGATTTTCAGCAAAAGTGTCAAGGCAATTCATCAGGGAAAGGATAATCTTTTCAACAAATAATGCTAGTAACATTAGACTTCCATATGCTGAAAAAAAAAATCTTTGTATATGGTATAAAGTAGGGATCAAAATTAACTCAAAATGTACTATAGAACTAAATGTATAGTCTGAAGCCATACATCTTCTGGAAGAAAAGATAGGAGAGAAAAGCTTACTGATCTTGAGAAAGATTCATAAGTAATATACCAAAAAAACCACAAACTATAAAAGGAAAGTTGATAAATTAAAATTCATCAAAATTAACCTTTTGGTTTTCAAAAGATAATGTTGAGAAAACAAAAAGGCAAGATAAACTAGAACGTATTTGCAAAATATATCCAACAAAGGATTTGTATCCAGAACAAATAAAGAACTTCTACAACTCACTAACAGGAAGAACACAAAACTCAATTTAAAAATGGGCCAAAGATTTAAAAAGACATTTCACCCAAGTGAGTATAGACATGGCAAATAAGCACATGAAACAATGTACATCATCAGTCATTAGGGAAATGCGCATAAAAATCACAATGAGCTATCTCTACATACTTACAGAATGTCCATAATTAAAAACACTAACAAGACCCAGTGGTGGTGAGGATGTGGAGTGAGTGGAGCGCTGAAACACTGCTGGTTGGGAATGCAAACTAAAACACCCTCTCTAAAGACATTTAGTAGTTTCTTACAAAGTTAAACATCTATTTGCCATATGACCAAGGGAAATTAAAAGATGTATCTAAAAAATATGCTTGGAAATATCCACATCAGAGCTTTATTTATAATAGTCCCAAACTAAAAGACTACAAATTTCCATCAACTGGTAAATTGATTAACAAATTATGTTACAGCCATATAATGTAGTATTACTACATACATAAAATGTGATTGTCAAGCATGATGCTAAATAAGGGCAGACACAAAAGACAACCTACTGTATGTTAACATACATATAAAAATCTAGAAAAGCCAAAAATACAGTAATAGAAGGCAGATCAGTGGTTGTTAGGGCCCAGGAGGCATGGAAAGGAGTTAGGAATGGACCATAAAGTGGCAATGAGGGAACTTTTTGGAATGATGTGTTTTTCTACATCATGATTATGTGGCTAATGTACAGTAGTGTTCTTTTATCAAAACTCATCAAACTGTACACTCAGAATTGGTGAATTTTATGGCAAGTAAACTATACCTCAAAAAAGCTGATAGAAAATGAGGCAGAAGATCAGGGGAAGAGGGGGAGGAGGAAAAGGAAGAAGAAGGAAGGGAAGAAGACAGAAGAAAAGGAAGAGGAAGGAGAATACGAAGAAGAGAATGATATAGGTTCCATAAAGAAAGAGGCTTGTTTATCCATTTAGTGAATACCTAAAGTCTTATTAGGTGTCAGTCAGAGGCTAGGCACTAAAGGAGAAACATCGGTAATCCTGAGTAATTAATAGTCTAGTAAGTGAGGCAGATATGTACACCAATCATAATCCAATCTGATAATTCCATAACAAAGATATATACAAAGTGCTATGGGAAATAACAGAGAGATTTGGGGTGGGAGGGATGGAGGGGTGGAACAATAATAATAATAATAATCTGAATGCTGCAGTATGAAATAAGGGGATGAGAGAACCTCCACTACAGAGAACAGGGAAGGGATTATTAGAAGGAAGAGCTTATCTTTTGTCAGCTGAAGACTACTTGACCTCTAAGATACATAAATCCACGACTTGAAGGTTTTATCCTTTAATAACAAAAAAATTTAAAAGATTCCATTTCACTTACCTATGTCAGAAGTCAATGGTTCACTTGCCTCACTGACTGAAGCACTGACATTAGCTATGGACTGTTGTTGGATTGGAAAGAGCCCAGAGATAATTCTTGACATTATTTCTTGTTCTACCCTGGGGGATAAAAGTTGAGGATTCCTAAATTTGATTGAAATGTATGAAGTGTTAGAAATACCACCCTTAAAAATAAACTTTACCCATGGACACTAACATTTACATATGAAAGTAGTGATTCTGAAAGTTGAATCTGGAGAGAAGAAATAAATCAAATATGTCTCCTAACAAAATAAACCACATGAAACAGAATCTCCATGTGGGAGATAGCTTTAAATTTGATTTAATGAACTTTCAGATTACTCTAATGAAAAGTTTAACAGACCTCCTAAAGTTATAATAAAGTTTAGGTCAAGAATTATCTGACATATCCTGTACCTAAAATGTTGGGTTCCCTACTTGGAAAGCACCCATATAAAACCACAGAAGATAAGAATTAGGAAAGAAGTCCAGCTGCCCCCTCTTCAAAGAAATAAATATATAGACTGCGATACAGGTCGTTTTCCTCTTTGAAAGTTAAGATAATTTATTTCCAAGATCACTTTTAGGAAGTAGAGAAAGAAGAGGAGGAAAAGGAAGGGGAACACAAGGACACTGCTTCTGTACATTTCTTTAGAGCAGCCAAGAGGCTGATATAAACTATTATTAAAGAAGTAATAGATATTCATTGTAGATAAATTAGAATATATGTAAAAGTTAAAAAAATAGATAAGGCTCACACATAATCTCAGATTCAGGGACAAACACAACTAACAATTTGGCATACTGGTTTTCAAATTTTTTCCTATGCACATTTATTTTTGAGGGAAGTCTTGTAATTATTAATATCTTTCAACATCACTAAATATTCTTGATTAATATCTTTCACTTTCATTAAATATTCTTCTAAATTTAATCTTGATAGCTATTACTATTCAGGTGTTTATTCCACAACTTCTTTAAGGTTTCTCACAGGTAAAAACAGGATAAAAATAGAGTTCCTAAGTTTACAGTAGTAACAAGCAGAATAATGCCTTGTTTATAGTAAACACTGTAGGTGCTAAGTAGCGTATGGTCTAGTAGCAGAACCATAATTATATCCTTAGGATAAATTTCTGGCAGTGAATCACTGGATTAAAGAATATGTACAGAGGCGCCTGGCTCATTTGGTGGAGCATGTAACTCTTAATCTTGGGGCTGTAAATTGGAGCCCACACTGAGTATAAAGATTATACTTTTTAAAAAATCTTAAAAAAGAAAAAAGAATATGTACATTTTTAAGGCTTTTGTTACTTAACAATAGCCTCTTTTGCCATAATAGAAAGCCAAAACATAAATATTCAAGAAAAGAAACAATACCTTCAACAACTAGTTAAAACCCTCACCTCACATCAAAGAGTTTACAGTAACTGTAGCAAAGGAAAGTTTAATAAACAAAAGAAAACAAGGAAGATTTCCAGCCAAAACTTAATACTTTATATTTCCTACTACGATTCTGTTCACACCAACACTACTGTAAACTCACCACTGAATTAAGCTATTTTCCAATGTTTCTTTTCTCTGAATTACTTTATCCAGAATATCAGTAGTGGGCTGAACAGTAGAAACAACTGGCGGAAAAGGAGGACCATTATATTTTGTAGAAACAACTTTAACACTTCTGTTAAACTCCAGAATTGGTTCAGAGTATTCTGGAATTTCATCGGGTTTTTCCTCTTCCTGGTAATAATAATAATAAAAATAAAACCTATAATATTTCTGTATCTGTTTAACATTTACTGGTGACAAGTACAGACAGGGAACTTAGGTCAGTGAATTAACCAACACTTCTACATTAATCAACCGCATTTCTAATTAGGTGGTATCATATTATTTATGATATATACACATTTGTCATACAGATCAAATTGAAGACCCTTAATTATACAATTATTTTAAAACCAAATGTTCATTTTAAGCAGTCATAAAACAAATTAGATAACATGGTTATTCCTGCATAAAACACTTCAAAATTTCCCTCTAGAAATTTATTAATTTATTATCATAATAAAACTGATGTTTCCAAATATAACTGCTTCTTCTTTCTGAAACTAAAAATTACATTTACATATGTAGGTAGGTTATCTTACACATTATTTGTACCATGACATCATGATCAAAGGACTCACTTATGAAATTTTTAAAATTTTCATTATGAAAATATCATATATGCTTAAAAGTACACAAAATAGTGCTTGTACACTGTATCTGTTATGTATAAATTACACATATCCCATTTATCTGTTCCCCAGCTTTAACAATTATCAACTCAGCTAAATTGTGTGATCTATACTCTCCATCTTCTTTACCCTTCACATAAAATTTTGAAATAAATCATAGATATCATTTTACCTATAAATAATTTAATATGAGTATCAAAAAAATTAGGACTCTTTAAAAATTCTAACTAGGGGCGCCTAGATGGCTCAGTCGGTTAAGCATCCAACTTAGGCTCAGGTCACGATCTCACAGCTTATGGATTCTATCCCCGTGTCGATATTAAAAAAAAAATTTTTTTTAAGAATATTAAGAGACCTGCAATGTATTAAAGTTTTTTGTTCCCTGGTATGTCTCCTCATGTGAACACCACATGAGTGTTTCAAAGACAAGAATCTTATTTATCTTTATATGTCTAAGGCCTAGCAAAGACATTTGACAACTATTTTTTTCAATGTACAAGTGAAAGGAATAGTTTTAGAAATAGCAAATGGTTTGGAGTTCAAAGACAAGTGTTCCTACCTTGGCTTTGCCACTTAGTAGTTGTGGGCTTCATTTCCTGATGGGAGGATATTTATTGAGTTACAATCTTAATTTAGTTATTTTGTTTGTTTATTTTTTAATGTTTATTTATTTTTGAGAAAGAAAGCACGAGTGGGGGAGCGGCAGAGAGAGGGAAACACAGAACCCAAAGCAGCTCCAGGCTCTGAGCTGTCAGCACAGAGCCCAAGGTGGGGCTCCAACCCAACTTTGATCAGCTGTCCAAAGATAAGGCTGGGAAACTAACACAGATCATCCAGCAGAAGGACGTGTAGATACAAGCTCTTCACGCTAGAATTCTAGCATTGGCTTAACCAACTGAGCCACCCAGATGCCCCATGATCTCTTAATATTCTAAAACAGGGTTTGATTTAATGATGAACAAAACTGGTCTTAGTTCTGAAAGTTCTGAAAGAAATATGAACAAATGTCTTTAAATTCTATTGACATATTATTATTCAAGCAGGTTCTATGATCTTTTCCCATCCATCATAGTTCACTTCCTCCTATTTTTCCCTTTCTCCTATTTTACCATTTCTATCATTTCTATAACTCTTCCTGTTATACGGGCTCTTCTCTTGGATTTTAGACCCCTCACAACTTTTTCCCTCAATATGAACTAACTGGTGACCTTGCCAATAATCCAGAAATCAAACAGATAAATGTAACAGAATAAAGAAAGGACAGATTGGAGGGAGGGAAGCCAAAGGAAATGGAATGGAGGAAGAAAACAGGAAGCAGGAGAGATGAGATATAGATGGGAAATAGCTGATAATCATTAAGTTTCCTTGAGGCAGCTAGGTGATCTAGATGAAGAGAACACTGTACTATACAATAATAACCGTAATTTTAAAGTAACATATATTTATCTAAAAAGTAAAGGGAAGTTTCTCAAAGCACTGTAACATAATATTGATGGTCAAAATATACTCAAACCATCAGGAACACGGCAAGGATGTGTCCTCTCACCAGTCCTTTTCAACATTGTACTAAGTCCTTGCTAACACAAATAGACAATAAAAGGAAATAAAAGGTATTGGGAAGGAAGAAATAAAACGATCTTTGTTTGCAAAGGAAATGATTGTCTATGCAGACATTCTATTGTCTACATAGACATGTCTATATAGATTAATCTATTTAGAACTAGAAGAAAAAACAACTCCTGGAACTAATAATTGATTATAACAAGTTTGCAGGATACAAGGTCAACATAAAAATATCAATCATTGTCCTATATGCCAACAATGAACAAGTGGAATCTGAAATTAAAAACAAATACCATTTACATAAGCATCCAAAAAAAAAAAAAAGAAATACTTTAGAATAAATCTAACAAAACATGTACAAGAACTATTTGAGGGAAAGTACAAAATTCTAATGAAGGAAATCAAACAAGAACTAAATCAATAAAGAGATATTATACTATGTTCTTAGATAGGAAGACTCAATATTGTCAGGATGTCAGTTATTCCCAACTTGATCTATATATTCAAAGCAATGCCAATAAAAATCTCAACAACTTATTATGTGGTTATCAACTGACTCCAAAATTTATATGGAGAGGCAATAGAACTAGAATAGCCAACACAATATTGAAGGAGAAGAATAAAGTTGGAGGACTGACACTATTCAACTTTAAGATTTACTATAAATCAATAGTAATCAGGAGAGTGTGGTATTGATGAAAGAACAGTCAAAGAGAAGAATGGAACAGAATAGAGAGCCCAAAAATAGAACCACATAAGTATAGTCAACCGATCTTTGACAAAGGAGCAAAGGCAATACAATGGAGCAAGGATAGTCTTTTCAACAAATAATACTGAACAACTGGACACCTACAGGGAAAAAAAAAGGAATATAGAGACAGACTTTATACCTTCCACAAAAATTAACTCAAAATGGATCCTAGACTAATTGTAAAACACAAAACTATAAAAGTCCTAGAAGAGAACATAGGAGAAAAATGAGATAACTGCGGGTATAGCAATGACTTTTTAGATATGCCACCAAAGGGATGATCCATGAAAGAAAAAATCAGCTGGACTTCATTCAAATTAAAAACTTCTGCTCTGTGAAAGACAACATCAAGAGAATAAGAAGACAAACTGCAAACTAGGAGAAAATATTTGCCAAAGGACAAATCTGATAAAGAACTCTTATTCAAAATATACAAAGAACTCTTAAAACTCAACAATAAGAAAACAACCCAATTTTGAAAATAGCACTCATCAAAGAAGATATGCAGATAGCAAATAAGCATATGAAAAGGTGCTCCACATCATATGTCATCAGAGAATACAAATTAAAACCACAATGAAATACCACTACATAAAATCTGGCCAAAATCCAGAATACTGACAGCATCAAATGCTGACAAGGATGTGCAGGTGCTGGTACAGGAAAATGGTACAGCTACTTTGGCAAACAGTTTAGTGACTTCTTATAAATCTGAACATACTTTTACCACACAATCCAGCAATCATCCTCCCTAATATTTCCCAAAGGAGTTAAAAACTTATGTCCACACAAAAATCTGCACACAGATGTTTACAGCAGCTTTATGCATAACTGCCAAAACTTAGAAGCAACCAAGATGTCCTTTAGTAGGTGAATAGGTAAATAAATGTGATATATACAAACAATGGAATATTATTCAAAACTAAAAAGAAATAAGCTACTAAGTCATGAAAACATGGAGGAAGCTTACATGCATATTACCAAGTAAAAGAGGACAATCTAAAAAGGCTACACACCATATGATTCTAAGTATATGATATTCTGGGAAAGGCAAAACTATGGAGACAATAAAAAGATCAGTGGTTGCCAAGGATTGGACATGAGTCAGGAAGGAAGGAACAGGTAGAACAGAAAGGATTTTAGGGCAGTGAAAATACTCTGTATGATACTATAATGACAGATACATTTGTTCAAGCCCATGAATATACATACATCATCAAGAGTAAACTCTAGGGTAAACTATGGACTTTGAGTGATTAAGATGTGTCAATGTAGGTTCATCAATTTTAACAAATGTTCCACTCTAGTGGGGGATGTTAATAGCAGGGGAGTCTATGCATGTGTGGGGGTAGAAGGTATATGGGAAATCTCTGTACTTCCCTCTTATTTTTGCAGTTTTAGTGAACCTAAAACTGCCCTAAAAAATAATAATAATAAAGCCTTTAAAGAAAAGATAATCATGTAAAAGAATGCTGGTAGAAAAATAATTTCTCATGGTTTCTAAGCTTTGTTACCTGTATGATATCAATTACTTCATCAAAGTTTGTTCCTGGAAACTTCACCTCTTCTTCATCTACCTTCATAAATTCTGAATTCTAAGAAAACATTTTTGAAAAGATTTTGTTGTGCTTAATATCTTTTTAATTCATGTATAATTTATCATATTTCTACCCACAACATAAACTTGTCATTTCATGGTCCTATTTTTAAATTTTAATATCCTGTTTAGAATTGATTTCATTAAGTAAATGAAATTCAAGATAGTCCTCAAGCCATCAAGTTTCATCTCAATAGCTATCAAAAATTAAATATAAGTTTCTGTCAATGACTCCACCAACAATGCAATTTAAGTCAATTGATAAAGTTGATAGGATTGTAATTTCTCTCCTAGAGTTAAACAAAGTGTTTATATGTTAGATATATAAGTACACATATATACACATTCACAAAAAGACAGATACAGAATCAAATGAATTAGATAGTTATTTTACAAATTTAGCCTCTAGGCTTCACTTGATATAATCCAGTCCCCAAAACCATATTAGCTCCTTCCTGAGAGCAGAATGATAAACAGTCCAAAAAATTATTTGTAATCATGTTTTAATAAACATCTGGTGAAAAAAATCACTGATGAAAAAATTCAATTAGGCATAATTGCCATTTAGGGTCAGTTCTACTTTACTATTTCGGATCATGAAAAATTGTTGG